AGAATGGGGAGAGGGGGAAGAGGTGGGGCGGGAGGCAGAGTGGCAGGTGAGTGGGCGAGGGGTGCTACGAGATTAGTCTGAATCGCGTCGTCAACGAGACGAGACAAGCTCGATTTGTTTTCGAGACGCCTCCGAATCACGCAGACATGTCAACCACCCTTCCCCCGTACAAGCCGTTCCGCGATTCGCGCGCACCTGTACGGCTGAGATGAAGCTGAGATCGTCGAAGTAGCTCGTCAGCCCGCCACCCACGGAGAGGCTCAGCACATCCACGCCGTCCGCGATCGCCTGATCGACGGCTGCGTACACGTCGCTCATCGCGCCGCTCGCGCCGTCCGTGCCGGCGAGCCGCCACATCGTCTTGTACATCGCGATGCGCGCGCGCGGCGCCATGCCCGACGCGATGCCGAAGCTTGATGGTCCCATCTTCACGTTCACTCCATTGTTTCCCGCCGCCGCGCTGGATTTTTCGTGAAAATGGGGGGTTGGGGGAGGAGGCGGGAGAGGGGAAGAAGAGGAGGGAAGGGGGGAGGATGAGTGACGAGTGATAAACGAGCGGAGAAACCTTATGTGGAGAGTGGATGATGACTGGTTTAGAGGGGAACGAGTAAGCGAAATGACGGACACCGAGCAACACGAGCGGCACGAGCAGCTCGCATTCTCAAACTTTAGAGTTTCTCAAGAACCCGGATTTCTAAGGTACAGCAAGAATTTTCTGTCATTCTCAAGAGGCATTCGCACGAAGCGGCATCACCGTACCCGGAGCACCAGGAGCCGTGGCCGTTGCCGTCGCGCGGCGACTTGAAGTCCGTCGCATAGTCGATTGCGACGCCCGCCTGGCTGATTCCCGCGTTGTAGAATCGCGCGCCGATCACCTTCTTGTTGCACGCCTTGAAATCCGCCGACTTCACGCACGTGCCGCGCCACCGCGCCGGCACCGGCCCGTACGTCTGCTCGTAGGGAGAGCAGGCGGGGAGAAGGCGGAGGGCAAACGGAGGGGAGGCGGAGGGAGGGCGGAGGGGAGGGTGAGAGGGGGAGCGGGGAAAAGGGGGTGGGTTGTTGAAGGCCTCGCCCTTATCACGCCTCCTTCCCTCTTTCGCCTCTCGTATCACTCGCGCCATCTCTCGCCTCTCGTCTTTCGCCTCTCAGCTTTCTCCGTTGACTCACGTCGTCTGCGAACGACGGGTGCTCCGGCCATATGCCCGAGTCGATCACGCCGATGATCACGCCCTCGCCCGCGTTCCTCACGCCGCCATTCGCGCTCCACAGCGTCGTCGACAGCTTCAGGAACGTCGGCGTGTGCGACGTGCGCAGATGCACGATTCGGTCGGGTCGCACCATTGCCACGTCAGGATGCGACTCGAGGGCCTCTACTTGGTCCTGATTTAGTCGCGCGCCGAACGCGTTCACCGCGTAGGTGTAGCTGCGGGAGAAGGAGAGAATTGGGAGACGGGAAAGGGACGGAGAGAAAAAGAAACGAAGTGAGAGATGGGCGGTGGGTAGGGGAGGGAAGGTTCCGCGTATTAGCGCCTTGTAATCGCAAACACTGAAGCACACACAGCTTCTTTCATATGAGCTCCTTCTGCATACCTTCTGAAGATCTTCTTAGAGGAAATGTTCACTGACGCTGCAATGTCCTGCTGGAGTTTTCCCAGAAACTTCTGGAAAGCTTGCACGCCAGAGGCCCTGATATCGGCGCGCAGCGGCCGAAATCGCTGGCGAATGTCGCTCATGGCGCCATTAACGGCGTCGTTGAAACTGTGCCCGATGTCGCCCAGCGCGTCGCCGATGGACGACGTAGTTAGCAGCGACGAGTCTGCGACGTCGGGTGCCGTGGCGGCATAGCCCTTGATCCCTCCGCGGTAGTTAAGGATAGGCGGCGCGGAGCGCAAATAGACTATGTACGAACTCGAGGGAGTCACCGTGGATCCGCCATCTGTGCAATGTGCAAGGGGGAGTTGGGAGGGGAGGGGGGAGGGAGAGTGGGAAAGGGTGCAAACCATATATGATTCTGTCACGGCACGGAAACTCGTTCGGACCGAGCTTACGGACGAACGAGCGAGGGGTATTAACGATGAGTATCGAACTATTCGATAGCCCGGCCCTGGACTCTGCCAGCAGCCCCGCGGTCTCTGAAGCCTCTCACGCAACGTGTTTTCAACCGTCTCAACCCGCCCCGTGATGCACGGTAAGCACCACGGCTAATTTTTCAAATTACCCTTTGTAAGTTACACAGCTCTCGCTCCTCAAAGGCACGCCGATGCCCAGTCGCGGAGCCGCGCTGCATACCAACTTTTTTTTTGTAAGAAAATACGGCCATTTGAGGCGGCCATCCTCCGAGAATCCTGGGCCCACGCAGCGCCACGCTAAGGTGACGGTCAGACACACAGAAAAATGATCCCCACCGTGAGCCGACTTTCAAGGCGCCCTGCATCCGGCGTGGTGACGGCATGCCCACGAGGGGATTTTTTTATTCCCGCTGTGGAGCGTTACCATTATAACTCCCCCGCGGTAGAGTCATTTTGAGTTCTTGCCAGGGTCCGCTATAAACGGGTCACCAGCCGCCGCGCGTGTGATGTAAATATGGCGTGCTCTCAAGCTATGTGAAGAAGAGTAGTGTCCTGACATCATTCCTCGCGGTTGAGACGACTCCTAAGCCAGCGAACACAAACCGATTGCCACTGACCGACACGAACTTCAGTCCGCTTAAAAGACGCCTCAAAGTCCAGCGCACGTCAATGACCGTCACTGACCGACCAGCAAATTAGTAGAATGCATCGCAGATGCAATTCCTGTACTTGGCTCGGTCCGATGGAAGCTCACGCCGCGCCGAATAATTACCTGATGCGGGGGCGCCATGGACAGGTTGAATGAGCCGTCGCTTGTCTAGAGACAAAGCGAGGAAGGCGGCGAGCAGAAGAAGCGGGAGATTGGAGGTTCTCCGGGGAAGGATGTGTAGAGGAGAGCCTATAAGCGCGCTTCGGGAACGCATCGCTGCTGCTGCTGCTGCTGCTCCTGCCGCGCCTCTTCCACGCTATCACTGGGGGAATTAACGACGACGCGTCGCGCCAGAGCACACGACGCGTCGCGTATCCACCGCCGTTTTGAGGGGAGCGAAAGAGCGAGCTAGTAGAATCGTCTCAAAGCACCAAGAGTGGAAGTTCTAGTTCGTTAAGAGAGGAATGCGTGAAATGGTCCCAATTAAATTGCCCCCACAGCGTAAGGGAAGGAGCCAGGATGTAAGAGCGAAGATGGAAAGGACGTGCTAAGGAGTCACGGTCCAGGAAGGGTGAAGTGACGGTCTATATCTAAATGGAGCGCGGCTTCCTCTAGAGGGTCAGGTTGAAAGGGATGGCGGCTGTCAATGAAGGAATGACGGATATGATGGAACGACTGGTCATGCATAGGATGGTCTTGCTTGGACGCAAGGGGAGGCGAGACATGCTGGGCGGTGAGAATCCTGATTGACGTAAAGGGTCACAATTCCTTGGTGTCGAGTGGGTATAGTTGAAAGCGAAGTGCCGACGGCAGGAAAAACTACGGGCGAAAAGGGCGATAGCGACGAGGGGTGGGTGATGACTGGTGGGTGTCGGTGTCACAAAAGAGGATCCAGGCCACTCCACGCAAGCCGCACACAACTCGACTCGGGCCTGCAGTTTTACGAGTGGGGGTTTGGCTGACGTGTTGTCCATACTGTAAATGCCCGGTCGGGCAAATTGATTTGGAACCAAGCAGCAAGGCGTGCGAGGACACGGGAGAGCGCGTGATGCGTGCATCATGGTGGAAGTTTGGTGGTACGGGGGACGGGAGGGACGGGTCACGGGAGGCAGAGGAGAGGAGCGGAGCGGACATCAGCAGACGGCCAATGTCGAAATCAAAATGACGGTTGCTCAAATTTCGGGCTGTCACGACAAGGGCCATTTCCCGTGCCGCGGGTATCGAGGCGCCGCGCGGGGGATAGGCTGGGCCACAAAAAAATTGCACAGCGACAACGAATTGCCGCTGCGGCTCACTGGTTCGCTTGAGCCACGTAGGAGGCTCTAGAGTTGCACTTGACGAAACGGCAAGTCGTTTGCGGAGACCGGTAACGCGTTGCTGATTTTTCGCTGTTACGCCGGAACGAACACTTCCAACAACAAACTTTAAAGCTACACTTTTCCAGAGCTGGGTTTTGGTGCAAAAACCCCATAAATCCATACAAGAACAGACATGAAATACATCCTACATATTTTAGTATAATATGATGTTTCTAATTTTCTTGTAAACGTGATACAATCGTGAATATGGAATGGGTGACACGCATGATTAACGAAGAATAGCAGTGAGATGGGTCTTTTTAGATGAAGAGACATGGAGTACCAGATCTTGTTGCTGTCTTATGGAGTTTCGTGCATATAATAGTGAATCACTTGGGGCGGAAGGAGATTCTACTGTGTCGCTGAGGTGACCTGCCATGCAGGCGTTGTGGTTGGTGGCTGTCCAGGTGTCCTGTCGGATTCCTGATCAGGGGGGCAACAGTTGCTGCTCCACCAACCATCGCAGCGGAGATGTTTTCAGGTCACAGCGAATAATGTGCTTGGATTCCGGAAGCCTTGCTCCTAGGGGAGCGGAGCGGAATCCCCCTCCTCCTTTCTGGAACCACCACCTAGCCAACTACCACGAAATGGACCAATGGGAAATGACACGGCACGTCATCTGCAGCAAAACGTCGCCAGATCGAACTCGGTCGGGAGGTGTGCTCTGCGTTACTCGGTTATCTATATGATGGGATCACTCTCCGCCAACGACCAAAGCGACTTTGCGCACCACGACCAACCCTCCCCACCCGCTCTTCCCCCTTCTTCTCCACCCTCTCTCTTTCCCCCCTCCCCACCTTCCTCTCACCAACCCCTTCCTTCCACTTCCCACATTCATGCTGCTTTCCTATCGCAATTTCTGCAGTCCAATTTCTTGATCCAATTTCAAGCTCGTTGTCCTTCCTACTGATCAGCTAAGCCATCATGGCTCGCCGTGTCTCCGTAGCCAAAGCGGCTCTCGCCGTGCTAACCTTCGCATGCCTCCTCGCACTTTCCGTCGGCGCAGAATCGAAAGTGATCGAGCTGACTAAGGCCAATTTTGATGAGGTCGTCGGCCTCACGGACAACGTGTTCGTTAAATTCTACACGCCATGGTGCGTGCACACATTAAAGCTCGCGTCTGATCTCGTCCCTCACTAGTGTGTATCACTGAAATGCATGTTACCTGACACGTTTTGTTACATTCGACATAACGTAGCATTCATAATGCTGGAACCGGCATAAACTACTAGCACGTTGAAAAATCAGAGTTACTCATTGTGGAAGTCTGATTATTTGCACAATTCATCTAGCTTTCGCAAATGTCGTCATTACAACATCGCCATTACCGTCTCAGTATCTGTCTTCCATGCGTTGGAACCGGCTTACAGGTGCGGCCACTGCAAGCGCCTGGCTCCGGACTGGGAGAAGGTCGCCCTTTTGTACCGCACTACACCGGACATTGTCATCGCTAAGGCACGTCACACTCTTCCTTGTCTTTTATTTCTGCAGATGCTCGCTCTCGTGCTGCCTGTGCTTAAGTCGTGCAGTCATTGTCGCTGCTGATATCTCTAAGTTCATTTCACTTAAAGCCCTTACGACGCGTTCAAATAACTTAGATATAGGAGACTGTCTGAGCACACTATGGCAATGCTGAACCAATCTATCAATGTCGATCCTCCACCTTCCCCGTCCCCCCTCTTTCCCCTCTCCTGTCCCCTCTTTCCTCTCTCCTCTCCCCCGGCCCTCCCTCCTCTCTCCTCTTCCGCCCTCTTTCCTTTCCCCCGTGTTTTGGCGTGTTCAGCTGGACTGCGAGGCGGAGAAGGAGATCTGTCAGAAGTTCGGTGTCTCGGGCTACCCCACGCTCAAATTCTTCCCCGCGCAGGCCACCACCCCGCGAGAGTACGTTCCCCAACGCGTGCCTCTCGCTTTCTTCGATCTCTTTTCCTTCACGGTTCTTCGCATTTTCCGCGTTGGCTCGTCGTTGTGTGCATTTAACAACGAAACTTCCGCGTTGGCTTGTCAAGTGTGTATCTAACAAGGAATTGATCTGCTGTACCCGTCTCTCCCCGTGCGCCTCTTCCCCGCACGCGCCAGCTTCGCGGAGCAGCGCACGATCGACAACATCGTCGCGTTCCTCAACAAAAAGCTCGGTACGATACTCCGTGCATGCACCACAGCCACGCGCGCGCCCCGCCTTGCGCTCTCCCCCTCTCGCACTCCATGCGCTATTCCGGATTGCGTTGACGCATGGCGCTAGGATTCTCCGCGCGTACCGTTTCGCTCTTACTCCAGCACATGTCTGGCCTCTCCAAGCGCTTCTGCCTCCTAACATGCTTCATACAATCGTTCTCTACCCACTCGTTCCTGCCCGTGCTCGCCTGCATCCCGTCCTCACCATGTTCCCCCCCACCCCCACCCCTTCCCCCCCCCCCCCCCCCTCCCCACCCCGGCCCTTCCTCCTCCCCCCTCCCCCTGTGTCTCTCCCTTTTCGCATCCCCCCTCCCCCACGCGGGTGCGCGGGTGGCAGGCACGAAGATCGTGCTGCCGCCGGTGCCGGTGGACGTGATGGCGCTGACGATCAAGACGTTCGATGAGGTGGTCCTGGACCGCGAGAAGCACGTGCTCGTCGAGTTCTTCGCGCCCTGGTGAGTTCTGAGAGTCGACTCATAAGTCATCTCGGTGTGATGGCGCTGACGATCAAGACGTTTGACCAGGGATTGCTGGACCGCGAGAAGCACTTGCTCCTCGAGTTCTACGCGCCTTGGTGAGCGCGGCGGAGCGGGGAAGAGGATGGGGAGGGTGGCGGGGGAAAGGGGGAGGGAAACGGGAAGGGGGGGAGAGAGAGGGATCGAGAAGATCGTGAGGAAAGGGAATGGGGAAGTGAGAGCGTAGGCCTTGGTGCCAGCTCAGGTTGGTGTGTGGTGTGGAGGAGCGGGGTGCATGGTGTACCTCTGTTCTGCCACGTCGTGATTTATTTGGATTTAAGAGAAACATAGAGAGAATGAAACGACTCGGTGTCAACAGATGTTATTTTCTTTCCTTAATCATTTCCATGGCACGGACAGCATGAGCATGTCATGTTGCATGTCACAGGATTGCTCTACCTAGGTGTTTTAAATGCCCCGCCATGGCTGCATGCATGCATATACACACTCGCATGCTCCCCCATGCTCACCCTTCGCTGCACCCTGCACTGCATTCCACTCCCGGTCCTGCTCTTGAAGGCTTCTCGTCCTCCCTACCGTTCGTCCCTTCTCTTTCGGTCTTTGTTTCCAATGAGAGTTTCTTATTCTTACTTATCCTTTTTCTGTGCGTTTTGTCCCGACGTTCCGCGTTTGTTGCCCAGGTGCGGTCACTGCAAGAGTCTTGCTCCTGTAAGTCGCCCTTGGTTCTTTCCTATCCAGTAGCCCCCGTTTCTCCCTCTTGCACTACGCCTTCATTGTTCCTTGCTGTTTCTCTTGCACCCTCTCTGTTCCACTTGCTTTGCATCCCCCCACCTCCCTCTGTTACCTCTCTCCTTCTCTCGCTCCCTTGCCTTCAACTCCCCACCCACTTCCCTTCTCGCCCCTTTCTCCAATCTCCAATCACCTCCCTCTCCTTCTCCCCTCGCCGCACAGACGTATGAGAAGCTGGCGCAGATCTTCAAGCCGGAGAAGGACATTGTTATTGCCAAGGTTGATGGTGAAGCCGAGAAGTTTCTCGCCTCCAGGTATGCGATGCAAAGCGCACAAGTACGTACCCCACTGCATACATGCTTCTCTGAGTGAACACACAAAAGAGCACACACACACACCACAATGCAACCGCGCGGCATAGAGTTCCTCTTTGGTAGCCCCTTCTCTCCCATCCGCGCCCACCCTTCCCCGCCATCACCCCATCTCTCCCCCGTTATGACCCGCACAGGTACAAGGTTACAGGGTTCCTGACGGTGTGGTGGTTCCCCAAGGACAACAAGGACGGCGAGGAGTACCAGGTGGGACACCTCTTGAGGCGCCGTATTAACCCCAACCGCCCCACCTGTCCCGTGTCTCTCTTCCTTGCACAATGCCCTGCGCAGGTACAAGGTGACGGGGTTCCCGACAGTGTGGTGGTTCCCCAAGGACAACAAGGACGGCGAGGAGTACCAGGTGGGACACCTCTTGAGGCGCCGTATTAACCCCAACCGCCCCACCTGTCCCGTGTCTCTCTTCCTTGCACAATGCCCTGCGCAGGTACAAGGTGACGGGGTTCCCGACAGTGTGGTGGTTCCCCAAGGACAACAAGGACGGCGAGGAGTACCAGGTGGGACGCGAGCTCAACGACTTTATCGGCTACATCAACGCCAAGGCCGGCACCTTCAGGAGTGACACCGGCGGCTACAGCACCCAGGTGCGTGTGCTGCTCCGTGTGCTGCTGTCTGTGCTGGAAATATGTGTGGTTGCTGCGTGGTGTTGCACGGGGGAGGGGGTACGCTTGTGGTGGTGACTTGGTGCTGGAGGTGATTGGGGGGTGGGTGGAGGAGGGGAGGGGTTTCTGTTAAAATGAGATGGTTTAGCTGTGAATGCACACAGACAGGCCATAGCCATGGCTGTTGTCACTGTGTGTTCAGTGGCTAACATTTTGACTTTCGTGAGACAGTTCTTCCTCACTAGACTATGCAGGCACAAACATACGCAATGCACTTCCACCCTCCCTGCCACTTCTAGCGTCAACTGACTGTCACTCCTCCTATCTGCAGTCAACCCAGTCACTCCTCCATTCTTCCTTCTCTCGCTGCAGGCTGGGCGTGTGCCGGCTCTGGACGAGTTGGCGCAGCAGTTCATGAATGCAGAGGGCGAGGAAGCAAGGAAGGCCGTGCTGGCACAGGCAGAGGCGGCTGTCGCTGCTGTGGACCCTGCCAACGTGCTGCAGAGCAAGTGAGTGCTGTGTTTGATTGTGCTATGAGTTGACTCCATACTCGTCTCATTTTGAGTTGACTGTTGACTCGAAACAGGCAGAGGCGGCTGTGGCTTCTGTGGACTTTGCCAACGAGCTGCAGAGCAAGTGAGTGCCGTGTGGGATTGCTTTTTTAGTATATTTAAAACTCAGACTCATTCTGAGTCGAGTCTTAAGCAGGCAGAGGCGGCTGTGGCTGCTGTGGCTCACGAGCTGCAGAGCAAGTGCGTGCCGTGTGGGATGGTGTGATGAGCGAGAGTGAGTGGGGCTGTGTGGTAGGAGTCAGAGGGCACTTCTTGATCCTGTCACACTCGCACTCACAACAAGTCGCCGCACACACAACAACCGCTCAACACTTGGCCACCGGATTCCCATACCCTAAACCCCGAAACCCTTAGCACTCCCCATAGTCATGGCAGAAATCACCCTAGCATCCGTGTGGTCCTTGGGACTCGCCTCATCCCTCTCACCTCTTCATCCCTTATCCCCTCCTCCCCTCATCCCTGCTCACCACCACCTCTGTGCCTGCCACCCCCCCCCCCCCCCCCCCCCTCTCCTGCGTGCGCCACCAGGGGAGCGGCGCACTACGTGAAGGCGATGAAGGCAGTGCTGGAACCAGAGAAGGGTGATGCCTACATTGAGAAGGAGGTTGCTCGTGTTGCCAAGCACCTTGCCGGGGTATGTATGTCGCCTGCACCTGGTGATACCTTGAAGCGTTCATGCTCTAGCATGTAACTCGTGCCCTGTAGCGGGTAACTTGTAGCATCTCACCTGGTGCTCTCCTTGCTACCCTTGCTTCTGGATGCTTCATGCATGCTTTCGTACTCTACACCCATGCACACACATGCATACCCATCAACACCCCTCTCCATTGGCACCGCTGTCTGTCCACTCTCCATCCCTCGCCTCTCTCTCCATGCAGGAACTGAAGCTGGCCACGCGTGATACTATGAGCCTGCGCCACAACATTCTCTCTGCCTTCCTGCGTCGCACACATACACATCCGCCTACCATCAACCCCCCTCACCATTGCCATCTCTGTCTGTCCACCCTCCATCCCTCCATCCCTCGCCTCTCCCTGCAGGAACTGAAGCTGCCCACACGTGAGACTATGAGTCTGCGCCACAACATTCTCTCTGCCTTCCTGCCTCCTCCCCCCCCTCCTGCACCGGCGGCTGCTGCTGAGGAGAGCACGCCAGAGACCGCTGCTGATGCTGCTCCTGAAGCCGAGCCCAGCACTGCCACTGCATGATGAGATTCGGTTGTTACCATGTAACAGATAATATCAGGAGTACACTGAAAGCACTGGTGAAATGTAGCGTGGTAAAGATTTTGTGGCAGTGGAAACTTTTTTGTTGTGCATGCCTGGCTGCGGGTTAGACCAAGTCTTGACTTGCTAACAACTTTCATGGATGTTATGTAAATGTAGGTATTTCTAGCTCCATTGTCCAATGCACCATGAATGCTCGGGTACCAGTTTATAGATCCACCTCGGAAACTGTAATACTACCGTGCATTGATGCATGGAGGTGCAAAAGGCCGACAGGCAACCAGGAGCAATGGAAATTGGTCTTGGTCTTGGTAGTGGGTGAGTGAACAAGAATCACAGCAATACCGTATGTTGACTAGACCAAAATAAAACCGTTACAGTGTGATAAGTCTTTCTGCACGCTGGAAGTTTGTTAAATGCCTGTGCTGGGCCTTAGCTTTAGGCAATCGGATTTTCACTAGAAAGGGAGCACTGCACCTGTGCCTTGTGAACTAACCATAACTGGTTTTTTTTTACGTCTCAAAAATGAAGAATAAAACCACAGTCATGGTAGTTGAAATATTATGAGGGTTTGCGCGTTGCAGTTGGTTTTAGAAGACGCCAAAGATCGTGGCAGCTGCAAAGATAAGGAAGAGCACCCCACTAGCGATGCCAACCTGCACAAAAGGAAGGGGGGAGATGGGACAGAGGGAGGGCAGGACGTGCATGGGTGTGTCATGGGGGTTGGGGGGGGGAGGGGAAGGTGGATGGGGGAGGAGGGTGGAAGCATATCGAGTTGGAATGGTGAGATGGGAAGAAAGAGGGGGGAGGAGGGTGGATGTGGAAGGGCAGGTGAGGTGTGGCACGTGGCAAGAGGTGTGGTGTTGGCAGTGGCACCACTGGAGCACGCAACAGAGACAGAAGGCTGTTGATACACGCGAGGCAATAGCAGAAAGGAAGAGGCTCAAATTTGTGATTACAGGAAGCAAGGGAGGAATGGGAGGGGCAGGGAGGGACGGGAGCATGAGAGGAGGAGGAATGGAAGCATGGGAGGAGGAATGGAAGCATGGGAGGAGGAATGGAAGCATGGGAGGAGGAATGGAAGCATGGGAGGAGGAATGGAAGCATGGGAGGAGGAATGGAAGCATGGGAGGAGGAATGGAAGCATGGGAGGAGGAATGGAAGCATGGGAGGAGGAATGGAAGCATGGGAGGAGGAATGGAAGCATGGGAGGAGGAATGGAAGCATGGGAGGAGGAATGGAAGCATGGGAGGAGGAATGGAAGCATGGGAGGAGGAATGGAAGCATGGGAGGAGGAATGGAAGCATGGGAGGAGGAATGGAAGCATGGGAGGAGGAATGGAAGCATGGGAGGAGGAATGGAAGCATGGGAGGAGGAATGGAAGCATGGGAGGAGGAATGGAAGCATGGGAGGAGGAATGGAAGCATGGGAGGAGGAATGGAAGCATGGGAGGAGGAATGGAAGCATGGGAGGAGGAATGGAAGCATGGGAGGAGGAATGGAAGCATGGGAGGAGGAATGGAAGCATGGGAGGAGGAATGGAAGCATGGGAGGAGGAATGGAAGCATGGGAGGAGGAATGGAAGCATGGGAGGAGGAATGGAAGCATGGGAGGAGGAATGGAAGCATGGGAGGAGGAATGGAAGCATGGGAGGAGGCATGGAAGCATGGGAGGAGGAATGGAAGCATGGGAGGAGGAATGGAAGCATGGGAGGAGGAATGGAAGCATGGGAGGAGGAATGGAAGCATGGGAGGAGGAATGGAAGCATGGGAGGAGGAATGGAAGCATGGGAGGAGGCATGGAAGCATGGGAGGAGGAATGGAAGCATGGGAGGAGGAATGGAAGCATGGGAGGAGGAATGGAAGCATGGGAGGAGGCATGGGAGGAGGGGGCAGGGAGGAATGGGAGGGGCGAGCAGGGGTCGTACGAAGCGCTCGGATATGTGCTTGGAGAGCAGCGCTCCTCCTATGACTGCGAGGCCTGTTGCCAGGAGATGCCCCACCGTGGCCCCCATCGCCACCCCCACAGGATTCTGGTAGCGATGGGAGACAGGGGGGGGGCATAGGAGGAGGCATGGAAGGAACGAATGAAGCAGGGTGGGACAGAGAGGAGGGGACAGGGGGGGGTATGGGGACAGAGGAGGAGACAGGGGGACGGAAGGGAGGTGCATTGGGCATGGGTTGGGGAAGAGACAAGGTGGGTGATGCCCGAGCGTTGGCTGCTGCTCGGGCAAAGAAGAGAACAAGGCAAGAGCAGCATACGCATGAGAAAAAAAGAGCAAGCGGGACTCGGGGTTTCGGGTTGAGGAGAGGAGGAGGAGGAGGAGGAGGAGGAGGAGGAGGGGTGCACAGCACAGACCTGGGCTGCTCCGAGCGCAATTGTGGCAAGCATTGATCGGTCTCCCCATTCCTGATGGGGGGGGGGAGAAGTGGTGCGAGAAGGGTTGAATTGATGCGAGTGGGGTTGAATTAATGTGAGTGGGGTTGAATTAATGCGAGCGGGGTTGAACTGATGCGAGTGGGTTTACAATAAAGGGTAGGGCGAGACGAGGAGGGGAACATGAGAAGAGACAGGGATGCATAGGCATGCAGCATGATAGTCAATGCACACCACAATGCAATGCAACGGGGAGATTCACTGCCTGTTAAAGGGGAAGGGGAGAGAGTGTGAGCGCAGGAGTGCGGGGCATACCGCAAGGAAGATGAGGGAGAAAGCTTCCCAAAAGACTTCCAGAGAAGTGGCTACTGGCTTCTCTGCCTGCAAGCGGACACGCGAATGTGCAAGAGGGCATGCGGGAGGACAAGTGCCATCGAGAGAGATAGTGATGGCACACACACAAGGATTGAAATCGAGGGAGGAACATGCATTCAAACACCTGATAAACTCATGTCTGTATGTGACGAATATCCATTCAAAACGAACCAGCTGGGGTTCCAGCTAGCATTGAACCATCGTCTCTCCAGGCCTCTTTCTCCTCCATGCATGCACCCACCCAACCACCCACACCCACGCACACTCACACACCCACACACAGCCACCCACACCCACACGAGTTCGTGCACAGACTCACGCTCACGCGCTCACCTCAGCCTTCTCCACAAACTCCCTCGCCTCTGCCAGCTCCCCTTCCTCCTCGTCTGCTCCTCCTCGCACACCCATACATACACTTCTGCACGCACGCGCACACACGACCTCACCTCACACACGCGCGCGCGCGCTCACCTCAGCCTTCTCCACAAACTCCCTCGCCTCCGCCAGCTCCCCCTCCTCCTCGTCCCCTTCTGCTGCCCCAGCGGCCGAACCAGCAGCCGGCGCAGCAGCAGCAGCGGCGGCAGCAGCAGGCATGGGGGTGGCGGGGAGCTTGAGAGCGGATTGGATGGACCTGATGCCGAACCACACGAGCAGCGCACATGCCAGATACTCGCCCACAGGGATGGCTGCATGGGGGAGTGGATGTTGGGGGAGGGGACGGGGGAGGGAGAGGAGGGAAGGGGGGAAGGGTGGAGAGAGAGGGGGAGGGGAGGAGGGAGGGAGAAGTGAATGAGGAAAGTGGTGAGTGGCACGATATTGGCGAGTGTCACCAGGAAGGGTTGGCTGTGCGGAGGGTGGCGAGTGCATGGGCAGGGCAGGGCAGGCAGCTTGAGAGCGGATTGGATGGACTGGATGCCGAACCACACCAGCAGCGCACACGCCAGATACTCGCCCACAGGGGATGGCTGGGGGGAGGAGAGGTTGCTGAGGGAGAGTGGAAGGGTGGTGGTGTTTAGGAGAGAAAGTTTCGGGCGAGTGGCAGACGTATGAAGAGTGGCACAAGGGTGGAGGGGAGAGTGTGGAGGAGTTAGGGAGGAAGGAAGAGGATGGAGGGAGGGGAGAGAGAGGAAGGGGAGAGAGAGGAAGGGGAGAGAGAGGAAGGGGAGAGCGAGTGAGGGAAGAGGGAGAGTGAGATGTCACACACTCACAGGTGTGCAGCTGCGCAGGCACTTCGCGGAAGAGGCGGCCAATGCCAGCGGAGATGGCGGACATGATGCCCAGCGCCGACACTGCCCCGCACAGCACCTGGTAGCGGGGGGGAGAGGGAGGGGGGAGGAGGAGCGCAGCGCAGGGGGAAGGGCGCGCAGCAGGTGGATTTTGAGTCAACTCACAAACCAGCGCGGACACTGCTCCGTACACCACCCGCAGGGGGGGAGGAGGGGGGGGGGGGGAGATGGTGGGGGAAAGGAATGTGGAGGACGGGGGGGAGGGGTGGAAGATGGAGGGTGTGGTGACAGGCGCTGACACTGCTCCCTGAAGCACACCTGGAGCTGCTGCTGTGTGGGCAGCGGTGTTGCTGTGTGGACGGCAGTGCTATGTTGCTGGTGGTGCAGTGCTGCTAGTCCCGAGAGTAGAGAGAGACTAACGCTAACGGAGCGACGGAAAAAGGGGGCTGATGATAACGGGGACAACTAGCATCGAGACCTATAGAGAGGGAGAAGAAGACAGGAAAACCAGAGCTAAATTTATATCCAAAAGTGAGGACTCTCAACAGTGGCATTAATACCGAGGGAGGAAGGGAGGCGTATGGAGAGAGAGGTGGGGGGGGCGTGGGAGCGAGTGCGGGCAGGAGCAACTCACGAGCAGCTTGGAGTGGCGCATGGCCAGCAGCGCCGCAATGAAGAACGTCTGCCGTGGCGCATGGGGACAGGCAGGCGGGGAGGAGGGAGGGAGGGAGGCAGGCAGAGGGTTGGGGTGAATGAAAATAAAGAGGGTAAAGAAGGAGACGTGGGGCAGCAGAAGCAGCGGTAGCAGGCAGGCAGGCAGGCAGGCAGGCAGGCAGGCAGGCAGGCAGGCAGGCAGGCAGGCAGGCAGGCAGGCACGCAGGCACGCAGGCGGGCAGGCAGGCAGGCAGGCAGGCAGGCAGGCATGCAGGCAGGCAGGCAGGCAGGCAGGCAGGCAGGCAGGCAGGCAGGCAGGCAGGCAGGCAGGCAGGCAGGCAGGCAGGCACGCAGGCAGGCAGGCAGGCAGGCAGGCAGGCAGGCAGGCAGGCAGCAACGACGAGGTTGACTGGGAAACAGACACATTACAGAAATGCTGTCTGGCCAAGAGTAAAACTCAGTAGCCAATCACACGAAGCAGACTCACGTCCATATTCACCTCCTCTCATCTAATTACGCCAGCCCAACCCAGCTAAACCCAGCTGAACTCAACCTAGCTCAAATCAGCTGTATCCAGGTCAAAGGTCAACGCAGGTCACCTTATCACCGATCTCGGAGACGAAGATGAGAGAGAACGCGGCGGTGAACCCGGACTTCGCGAACACTGAAATGATACTCGACGGACCGCCCGCCCACGCCGTCGCGCCCACTGCCGCCGCCACCACCGCCGCCGCCGCCACCGCCGCTATCCGCAGAGCGCGCGCGCCACCGTTCCCCCCGTTCCCATCGTTCCGCGCGACCGAGGCGTCAGAGCTGGACGGCCCGGCGACGTTGCCACTGCTGGCGGCCGCGATTAACGGACTAGAGACCGACTCGCTCATGCTGCCGCCGCTGCTGCTGCTGGAGAACGGCTGCCGTCTTGGTTGGCCTGAAGCAAACCATGAAGCAGACAGTAACGGGTATAAAGACGAGCGACTCAAAAGCAGGGCCGGAAGTCGCGTGAGGTTAATCGATCATGAGCAGCAGCGAGTCGCGGGGCGATCGAGTCGTCGACGTAACGGCAGGAGGGAAATTAAGGTCATACAAAACAATACGTGTCGATCAGATCAAATAAAGGCAGATCAAACAATCTCCGTCGAACACGTGGCGGACATCGAGTCTGGAACGATGCTTCACTCGACTCGAGAAGGGGACTTCACCTGGGGAACAAAGGGACGATCGCGCGCGTTGCGAGAAGGATCGAACAGCAAGAGACCGCTCGCCGCCAACTGGCAAACTGAACTTTCGCAGGACCAATTGGCTGCTGCCAAGAGGGGAAGCTGACCAGGAGGCTGGTGACGACGGCCTCTTTTGAGAAAACGAGTCGCAGGTATCAGTGGGGTGACAGCTGGCAGAGCAAATAGTTGGGCGGCATGGTTGGGAAGAGACGAGAGCTGACACCATGGCTGCCTCTAAGCAGGCAGCGACCGACGAACCGCGACGCGACTACTAGACGGAGCGAGTAGCCGGAACGGCAAGAAGCAGGTGCGACGTCGACGAGGCGACGATTACGCGGAGGGACGGGCGAATGTGGGGTGTCGACCAGGGCAAGGATGGATGCGATGCGATGCGATCTCACCGAGGTTGTCTAATTCTGCGACTAGGACGCTCGCCAACGGATCAACGCGAAGAATAAAGGGTTTTCAGCTTAGCGGGGACAGGTATCTGGACCCTTCCGCTTTCAGGGAACGGGCGCTATCTGCGCACAGTTTCCGCAAAAGTCTGGGCTAGGGGGGGAGGGTTATTGTTCAGGTTAGGGAGTCGAGCTCTCAATGAGCCACGTGGTTACTGTTCATCTTCAATCTCAGATTCTGCACTGCGCAGGCTTGTCTTTTCAACCGAATCCAGCCCACGTTCGGGGTAGCTCGTCAGCCAACTGTTCCCAAAGCTGTGTGGCCGTTGTATTTTTTAGTTTTTGTCCAAATTACATTGCACCCGAAACCCTGAGAAAAAGTTCACCCTACCAGACCGAAACAAATTAAACCCAATCGGGAAGGGGTGCGACTCGGGAGGCATCAACCCAAACAAGAAGGAGGGTCCCGTGTTTAGGGTTGATTCCTCCCTAAAATGCGTCCGAGGGAGGCATCAACCCGAAACACCATGCCACAAGGTGTTTAGGGTTGATGCCTCCCTGACCGGATGCCTTCCCGACTGGGGTTTATTTTTTTTGCTCGCGTGTCCGTTGGGGTATTTCGAGTGTAATATATTGAGAAAAAACGACAAACCAGAGCAGTGGAGAATCTGTGATTGAACACCTACAGTGAGCTCTCTGTGAAAATTGGGACACGTGGCTCATTGAGAGCTCGACTCCCTAATCTGAACAATAACTCTCCCACCCTAGCCCAGCCTTTAGCGGAAACTGTGCGCAGAAAGCGCTACCCCTAACCTGAAAGTGGAGGGTTCGGGAAACCCCTCCCTGCTAAGCTGAAAACCCAAGAATAAACCACTCGTCGTCACGTCAGCCACCAGAACCAAATAAGTGGGCCAGAAACTAATCCCAAGGGGACGCTTCTCGCGCTGCTACTGCTTCTTACCTGCCTAGCTGGCAAGTGAGGCAGGTGAGGGAGAGCTTCGGCACACGTTATGTCATGCCGAACCAGCAACTTACCTGAGGTAGCAGGTGTGGTCTGTCGAAGGGCAGTTAGGCTGGGGTTTTGTTAGTGAGGGAAGTTTTGGTTCGGCTGTTCCGAGTTGGATACAGGTCTCCGATTTCACTCATGGCACCGTTGGCTTTGCCTTACCATGGCGGAGCAGGCTCATAGGTTTGGTCGGGAATGGATCAGACTGGATGAGGTTCTGCTGTACATGGCAAACCTACATGACAGTGAACCGTACGAGATGAAAGGGCTGCGACAACAAATACTTGTCATTCTAAGAAGATTATACTATATAAAGGATACGAGTTATCCAAGGAACAAGCATGTTCTCGTGAGGGCAGGCGCCATTGCTGTTGGAGTATGAAGGGAATTACACTTAGCATTCCCGTAGGTGCAGCAGTATCGCACCAGTCCCTATCGAAGCAGCAACAACAGCAGTATCGGATCAGCTCGTATCAAGGGCAGGAAGGTCAACAGTCGCAAGAGTCAACTGTCGCGACTGTTGACCATCTGGACCGACGATTGACCTACCATCGAGGAATGGCAACAGGCGTAACCGTACGCACAGGTTACATGCAGCGACTCGGTAACAAGAAAGTAGTGCAACAGTCAGAGTCACTGTAGAATTGCCTGTAAAGCAGTTAGAATAAGGGAATGTACCCCTTAGAGTACATGGCTAGCTAGAACTATTTATTATGTGTGTAATCTTTGTTTTAATCAACTTTGTCATTTACATTTACTATGAACAGAGTTCCTACAACAAGACTTCCACTACCAAACTCTTCTAAGGCTTTCCTATCCTATCCAAGGTCCTCACTCTAACATGGTATGAGAGCTAGTTTGGATTATAGAAACTGCTAAAAGGGCTTCAAAAGGCAAGCTTCTTCAATAATTTAACTTTACAACAAGGGCAACATCATGCCAGGCGCAGATTGCGGAAAAGACTGGAGAGAATCAAGTACAACCCTCCACCAATGTCGCTTCTACCACAACGACCGTGGACACACCGCTCTTGGAGCAGTTGATCTCCCGCATCAGCGCCCTGGAGAGCAATCAGCCAATGAGCATCGACAGCTCTAGTTACGCCCGAAGACCTCCCGATCTTCAAGGAGCTGGATCTGAACGATGCTTCACCTTCGACAACCGCGGAGCCCAAGGATCTGCACAAGCACAACAGACGCATTACGAAGCAATGGCGTCAATGCAGAGCAAGCTTTTATCAACATCGAAGCTCAGGACAACAAAACCGTTCGACGGACAAGACTTCTACACATGGAGCTTCGAATTCGAGCTACTGGCTCAAGGCGCTCATATCTGGATGTATTACGACGGTTCGTACGCATTTCCGACTAACGGCTCACCTCAGGAGAAAACTCAGTACTACAACGAATCACTCCTGGCCTTCACCGTCTTGATCCGGAACCTGTCGCTTGAAGAACAGCTAAGCATTCGCTCTTTCAAGAACGAGTGGGCGCCCGCGCAACAGTCCTGGAAACACCTGGGCACCTGCCACATGGCAACGGATTCGGTGACATTAAGTCGCCTGCTCAACCAGCTGAACAATGTCAAGATGTTCCCCGGCGAAAAGGCCGGGCCATACATCAACCGCTGCAGAAACCTGAGAGACCAATTCAGGAAAAGCGGCGGCAACTTCCCTAACGACATATTCGTCACCATCATCCTCGATGGATTGAGCCCGGAATGGCGCCAGTGCAAACCGCTCCTTCGTACGCAAGGAACCCTCAGTGAAACCGCCCTATGTTCCACGCTTCTTTCCAAACAGAAAGAGATCGACCTGTACAACAAAAGAGGCAACAAGAAGGAGAAGATTGTTTTCTACGCGCAAGCGCCACCGGACAAGAAAAGACTCTTCTGCAAGTACTGCAAGAAGACAGGGCATATGATTCAAGACTGCTGGAAACTGAACGGCAACAACAACAACCAGAAGGGTGCCACAACGTACAAGCAAGGAGGTGCTCCAGTGCACAACCAGACAGTTTCGCCACCGGCCGTCGCCAGCACGTCTCGAACTCAACCGCGTATTTCTGCGAACACAAACGACAAGGGCAAGAGCAAGGTATTAACCTGCATGGTGCGTCGAGGACCACCTCGCCCTAACCGACACTACCGCTTCTTCCGCAGCTGGGAGGACATGTTCGCAGACCCACCTCAGGAGCGGCTCAAAGGATCGGTTGAAGAAGAAGAAGGAAAACGATCCAACCTACGACGAGCTGACGGTCGGACGGATGCAGTTTGACTGGGAAGCGCCGCAGTGGATTGAGGAGTCACCACATGCACGCATCGCATACGACGAGGAAGGATGTTACTACGAAAAAGAAGAACGAGCACGACATGGAGCATCACATCACTCCGAAGCTCGCCAATCTCGCGAAGGCAAGGAAAGAAGTCAACAAATGGTACCTGGACAGTTGCTGCGGCCAACACATGGTGTCGTCAAGCGTCTTCATCCTCAACAGCGAAGCACTCTTCAACGAGGTGGAGATCACCGTCGCCAATAGCCAAACCATCCACGCCAGAAGCCGCGGTCAGATCCAACTGGAATCACATGACACCGGCTACTGCATCTACATCAGCGACGTCCTCGTTGTGCCCGAGCTCCAGTACAACCTTTTGTCCCTTGACCAGCTGATGAAGTGCGGAGTCGGCCTGCAAGCAACCGAAAACGAACTCCACTTAATATACGACGGAATCTTCATCGGGAAGGCGACAAGCATCGAAGGAGTATTTGTGCTCGACTTTGAGTCACCCAAGACCTCCGGCGACAACCAACACATCCTCGTCCTTGATCCACCCGGTCACCCGTCACCGCCAAGGTGGAGCCATCCGGAAGAAACCGACTACCAGCAGCCCGGACTCGACGGAACTTTCCGCGCACTCGCCGTACCCGTCGCCTCGACCACGAATCCTGCGGACACTGGACCACAAGCGGTGGAAAAAGGAGAAGAAATCACATCAGAAACGGCAGCTGCGACGACGGAAACGGCAAACGCGGAAGTGGGAGGATTCGCACGAGCAATTTGGCCTCGAGTTCAACACCCTACTGGTTGGAACACCACTGAAGGTTGGGACGCTGTGGACGCTCGCTGGGTGATGGAAAACACTGCGCTGGGAGAAGCCGTTGCGGCTGAAACTGGATGGGGAAACATCGCCGAAGGACCTGCAGCAGAGGAAGAAGAGTCAGCAGAAGAACCAGAAGTCACTGAGGAAGCACCAGAAGCAGAAGA